CCTATGAGTTACAATTTATTCAATTGCGTCTCATCTCGGTTTAAATGATTTTTATTGTATCAATTTGATTTCCCTTTGCTTCTAAAGCAATTCTATGCTTCATAAAGTGTGGCTCACACAATACACAATAGAAATATATATATATATTAAATTTTTAATGCTAGTATTTCTAATGAAACAAACTTTTAAAAATGCATTATCCGCATTCTCACGGCACATTTGATTTATCATTGTATCCAAGTAAAAACACCTAAAAAGAGGTCAGATAGGCACCTGTTAGTCTGACAAAGACGACAGTTGCCTGACTATCTTTCACTTTGTAAAAGTTATTAAACAATCCAAGAGGTAGGGTTTAGTCAACATGTCAACCAAGCTAATAAAACTGCCTTGCTATTGCTCTAAAGGGTTTACTTCTGAGAGAAACACCTTTTTAGGTCAACTAACTGGGTAGTTTCATGGCTGCAAACTAAACAAAGTCATTGAGCTTCCAGACAAAAGACAGCATTACAACGTGTTTCACATGATACCTCGGAACCATCCTGTCTTTATTTAGAAACACTTCAAATCAAAAAGAAGCCCCTGTTTATACCTTTTGTGTGTCCGGCTTATAAATGCTATGGTGTTTCTTTTTAAAAGGGAACGCTAATCCTTTTTTCCCTGAAGTCATACAGCAGCTGTGTTCAGCTTGCACAGCTAAAAGTCAAAGTTGAAAACAAAAGTTATGGGTCCAAGTGACTTGATTTCTATCTGGGTTTATTCATTCATCCCAGGAACTTCAATGACCCCACTCAAACCATTGGGGTGAGTGTGACCTGGCCAAAGAAGATACTAAACGCTGAGTTGCTCCCAGTACGTTCACTGGACTGTAAATGTTACTTAAAAAGCACTTAGATGCAGGAAAAAAGTGATGTAACTCAGTATCGTGTGTGTGTGTGTGAATGGGTGTGGCATACGCTGTTTTGATAGCTTGAGCAGAAAAGCACCATTTAAGAACCATTTACCTCACCTCAGGTGACCTCAGTCGGTCACATGATGGATTGGGGAAAGGTCTCATAGTGGTTTCAGCCCTTAATCCCTGGTAACAGTAATGACTCATACCTTTTACCAGAGTCTAAATACTTGGACCCTCTACCATTTTTTAGAACCGAAGAAGCTTCTTGGATGATTAGAAAAACATCATCACAAACCCAAAGAAATCCAATTTCCTTCCTTTCCTTAGTCTCTCAAGACTACCCTGACCTGGATGAACCTGCACATGGATACTGATTTTAAGGCTACACCTAAAAACAAAAATCATGCGCATGACATCTACACTAAAAAATAAATGTAGTATAACAGAAAAATATTTCATTTTTTTAAAGCATGATCGAAAAATTAAAATTAAAATTAAACATTCTCATTAGCTTCAGTGAGTAGTGTATTTCACCTTGAAAAAGCTGCAGAACTGATCAATGTAACCATTGTAATGTAGGTTTTATGTACAGTGAAGCATTGAGAATAATGACTTATGACAGCAAACGTGTGTGATATCTGCCTAACTGTGTCTTCTTGAGCTTAATTTGGACTTCTGCTGGAAACCTACTTCCTAACTCACGATGTAACCGGAAGCCCCTTTTCCCCCTACGCCACATCCATCCACGCTGTTCGAGTCGATGCTGCGACACCCCGACATGTAGTTACATTTCGGTGGGCTTGCAGCAGGTTGCGCGGAAGGTTATGGTGCAGGGTTAAAGGAGTTTACAGTATAAGTAACAGCATAGATCTCCTGCAAAAATCAGTCTAAATCATGCATTAGTCATCACTGGTTATAGAAAAGAAGAATTGGGTATCACATCAGTACCATGTACACTCTGAAAACCTTTAAAATCAAACAGATTGTTTTTTTAATTATTATTATTACATTTTAATTCAGCCCATTGTGTTGTCATTTTTAACTGGTTACTTCTCTTCTTGGCAGCAGAGCCAAACCAGAGATATCAAGTAGAGGCCCAAACAGGCAAAAAAGTCATAATGGTATGCCACAACTAAAAACACCACCAGCAGGGTTGCATATAGCAGTGATTTTGCAATATTGCTACAGGAAAACGTGTCTGTCCAGGACAAAACACTCTGACCCATGCGCTCCTCTGCAGGGGAAACAGCGGCATTGCTGTCTTCAAGCTTCTCCTGAAGGCAACTGAGGTGTTGTTCTTCATCGTGATATTCAGTGATGGGCGGCATAGTGGCAGACAGCAGTTTGGTTCTGCTTAGACGGGGCCTTTTGCTCACAGTGCTCTTGTCTTCGTGGGACCATCCTCCTGTGCCGACGGCCCTCAGGCAGTGCATGTACAGCTCCACCTCATCGCCCGAGTCCGACTCTGCCGAAGCGCTGTCCTGGCTTGTTTGATCACTTTCAGGTTCATCCGTTAAAGCGCCCCCCTCTGCAGCGGCACAACCATTTCCATCTTCTGACTGAGCTTTTGTGGTGTGAAGACATTGTTTTTCAGTTTGAATGTGTGCACTTTGCTCTTCTCCTATACTCTCTTTCACTGGTACGCTCTCGTCGCCATCCTTCAGCCCACTGTGCACCAGAGCAGATAAAACCTCTCCATCCTTGCTTCCTGTAATTTCTAACTTCTCTTCCAAACACAGTTCTGGATCTTTTTGTTCCTGTTTCGCCACACGTGAATGTGATTCTACAAGCTCCGCCTCTGCTGCTCTGTAATTTAGGAATTCGTAACGTGGATCCAGCTCCTCTCCGTTTCCCTCCTTTGGTTCTTTCTCCCACTCTGCTCCGCCTTCACCTTCCTTATTCAAGTTTATTTTCCCATCTCCCTTTATCTCCTTGTTTTCTTGGATGTGTGCCCATTCAATACTGACCTCTTTTCCTGCAAAGTGTTTTTTTGTGTGCAGCTGTGTCTCTACTGGTCCCTCTGTTTCTTGTACTTGGTTCTCCTCAGTTAATTCTTCCCTTCCACCTGTTTTGTTCATCTTTATGACTTGAGCACATTCTACCTCAGTACTGGCACCATCTTCTCCAGAGACAGCCTCTCCGATTGTTTCGCTGTCCTCTTCTACTCCTGTCACTGCCCTCCCCTTGACAAATTCCTCATTTGCAATTTCTTTTTCTCTTACTTCACAGACGCCCGGATTTAAATATACTATCCCCCTTTCTTCTTCGTGTATTAAAATGTTGTTTTCTTCTTCTTTAACCATCATTTCCCAGTCCTTCACTTCAGTGATTTCTCCTAAACAGAGAGCCTCCTCTTTAGCTTTGATTTTGCAATGCTCTGTTTTTTCCTGTGTCTCTGTAGTCACACATTCAGCCAACTCCCCTGTTACCTCAGTTTCACCAGAGGATTTTGATTCATCTTTGAGTGAGCCGTGTGTCATTCTACTGCCTTCTCCCATGTTGTTAGTTTCTCCTCGAGCTTCCAGAAGTGTCTCGGGTGTTGTGAAATCTGATTTCTCCACAAGTTTGCAGTCAGGAACAGTTGCTTTTGTAACTGAATTGTCATTGTGGTGCAAATTCAACTTATGCAAGTCTTCACATGGTTTAACCTCACTAAAAGATGCATTACCAGGACACAGAGCTTTGATTAACTCACATTCATGGCGTTTTTCTTCTAAGTCGGCGCTCTGTTGGTCAGGTTCTTCATTAACATGTCCCAGCAGGTCCCCAGAGCTTTCAGGTTTTACAAATGATGTTTGCGGACTGGTCCTGACTTCATGTGTATTGCTTTTTGCGTGCGTTTCATCCAGATTAGTTTTATCATGTGTACATGGATTCTCTGGGAGTGGACACTGTGTTGTTTCTGCTGTAATTTGGCCTTGGGGGTCATGTGTTACACTGTCTTCCTGTGCTTCTCCCCAGGGATGTAAACTCTCAGCCGGTATTTGTGGATTCAACAAATCTGCTTGCGATAAAATGTTTACAGTCTGAGGACAGCTTAATGTGTCTTCTAAACAAGTTTGTGAACCCTTAAGTGTGCTTGTGCATCTCCGGTCTGTATTTTCAGTCCCAGCCAGAACCTGCAGAGTCTCTGCATTTAATGTCAGACTTAAACTTGCTTCTTCCTCTTCTTCTTCTTCTTCTTCTTCTTCTTCTTCTTCTTCTTCTTCTTCTTCTTCTTCTTCTTCTTCTTCTTCTTCTTCTTCAACACGATTATTGCATGGTGCTATGTCTGTGCATTCCTGGTTTGATTTCTGGTTATTAATCACATTTCGAAGTGCTTTACTATTGTTACTTTTAATATCTGTTGAAACAGTGCAACTAATCTGTCTCATGCCAGTGTGAGGATGTAAGCCTCCAATATTCAGTGTAGCCTGTGCAGGATTTTCCCAGCCAGCTCCTCTCTGACTTTCACTTCCCACTCTGCCAAACACCTGGTGATACAGCGGAGCCACCACAGTGCCAAATGTGAAGCTGCTGGTCTGGCCAACAAGGCTTTCATTTCTCACTGCTGTTCTGCTAATGTATTCATGACCCATGTCTGCCTCCTGACTACTGTCCTGAGATTTGGTATGTTGCTGTTCTGCTTGAGCAAAATTATCAAACAGGTCATCTTGGATGTCCGTGGCACTCTCACCTTCTGCTAATGTGACTGAGGCAGTGAAAGCAATGCTCTCAGATTTCTCTGGCTTGTTCTCAGATGTTCGGTCAAGTGCTGGTGACAAAACATGTGAAACACTGAGGAGGGGTTTGCTGCACTTTGCTTGGGAACCTTCTGGTTTGCGGTTGCTCTCAGCAAACAGTTGCACATCTGTATGGCTTTCCTTTGGGGTTTCTTCTCGAGCTGCCTGTGGTACCCCTGGAGGTGATTCGTCTCTATCTGCGTTGTTGGCGTCTCCGTTTCTTTGAGCAAAGTAGTCCTTCACCCGGGCCATCCGTGCAGCCTTTCTGCGACTCCTTTGGCTGTCGTTTACTCCGCTCTCAATCTGTCCACCAACACAGATAGATTCATTTCAACAACATGCCCCTTAAAGAAAACCAAGTGAGGTAAAATTTAAAGCTGCATTTCTCACAACAAGAAGACATAAAAAAACAAAACAAAGCATGCCTGACTAAATGTAATTGAAACTGTGAGAAAGCACAAACTGCAAGTATCACTTCTTATTTATTTTTTTTAGGTGCACAGCACATTATGTTATACTGGTGGTACCCAACTCCAGTTATGTGACCCTCTCTGAAAAAGTGCACCAGGGTCATGTTAAGCTCTCTGCTCCTCCTGCACCTCACAGTCATACCGATCCTTTAAATGCCTTTACACTGCTAGAAAACTTAACGCAGGGATGTCAAACTCATCTTACATTATGGCCCACTTCAGTGTTTCGTGGGCCGGACCAGTGAACTACATGTTTAATCCCTGAGATATTATTAAAAAAAAGGTACAATATTAATAATACATCTCATTTTTTTTCTACATGATAAAGAAACGTTGCTGTAAAATGAAAAGAATCTGTCAGCACTACTCTTTGGGTTGTAACGAATCTTCAGAATTACAATAAAAGGATAGGAGTCTTTGCTGGGCCGATTGTGGCCCCTGGGACTTATGTTTGACACCCCTGCTTTACAACATTTTGCATGTGAGGATTTACAATGTCAGGACAGAACTGGAACTGTTGCGTCATCAGTCATATCGGCAACATTTTTTTTCCACTCACCAGTAATTTCTGTCCATGTTCCTCTGACATTCCTGACTGATCATTCTTAGATTTCAAAGTGTCACCCTCTAGTCCACTGTTGGACACATCTGGAGACAAGAAACATTTTATCTATGATCCTGCTGGGCTATCAACGCAGTTTTCTTCAATTTCAGGTCATTTCTTCATTTCACAGTGGGGAAAAGGAAAATTTTCACCTGCTGCAATATTTCCCTGTGTTGACGACTCCTTTCCTGAACTGTTTTCCACGCTGGAGTTCGAACTGTAATAAGTTAATTAATTAAAAATGCGATCAGTCAGGGTTAATTCGCTTTTCTTTTTCACGTAGCTTCAGGTGATTATCGTCAATCAACAAACCACGTAAGGTGACAGTGCTGAGATACACAAATTGTTTTGATTAAAAAGTGTTAAATTGTTAAAAACTTGTAAGTATTTATATGTGTGAGATGTGAAATTGTGTATTTTCTAACTGTGACTGTTGTCCATTTCACAAAGTCTAGATTGGTTATAATGTAAAAAAAAGAAAAAGAAAAGAAGAAGAAGCATATTTCTTCTATTTATATGAGTTATTCAAATTATAGACCTCACATAGTCATCACCAAAAAAACTTAAGTTACAAAACTAACTAGCAAAGGACATTTTTAATGAATAGTCGATATTTAATTCAACAGGAAATGGCCTTTACAATCTTCCATAACAAGCATAATGGACATTCCCCTGACCATGCACAATTCCTATAATTAAATAAACCTAAAAAATGTGCCTAAAAATGTTTTATGAAATCACTTTGTATTCTCACCTGGCTGTCTTGAGGCAGCTTTTCTTGTTCACGTTTTCCTTCTGTGGCTGATCGTTTTCCTTTGTTCTGCGGAAACATGACAGCACGTAGTTCTTGTTGGCGTTGTTGGCCCAGAACGTCCCCACAGGTGTTTCATACCGCAGACAAAAGTCAACTCTGGCCCCCTCTTCCCGAAATGGAGGCCACAAAGTGAGCGTGAATGAGAAACAGTCCGTCAGCCCATCGCTGGAACCAGGGATGTACTCAGCCAGGAGGTCAAAGTGGCTGGACCAGCAGTCCAAAGTTGTTCGAACATATATCGCCTTAGTGAAGGAGATGTTGAGGACGCGCACCACCCCTTTTACTATTGTGGTCCCTGGAAGTAACTCAATTTTTTCCAGCTCTACTTTCTGCTCCTGGACCTTGGTCAGTAGCTCCTCGGTTAATAACGGGAGGGAAAAATTAAGAGGTGAAAGAATGTATTCATCTTCATCATTGCCTTCCCCATCAGATGTGTCGTATCCTGGCAGTTTGGGCACGTCCCACGTGTCGAACTCCTTCACTTGAACCAAATTGAGGCCTTTGGCATCTGCGAAGGAAACTCTCCTGGAGCCACACATGGGAGGCTCAGGCTCCGAGTCCTCATCAGACACAGAGCTCTTTCTCCGTGGGAGAGGAGAGGATTTGGGCCTGATGCCGATGACCACCTCGCCCTCATCATCGTCCACGTCCCAGGAGCTGAGGACTGGGACTCCTAAGAAGTTACAGGCCCCAGACCCTCTTGGCTGCCCCCAAAAATCCATGAAGCTCTCTGTGAGAGACTCAGCGTGAAAATGAACTGCGCTGCTTCTGGCAACTGACATTCATGCTCTGACTTAACAGATGGAGTCAAATTACAGATGACATTGTTGCGAGGGCCAACACTATAAATAGGCCAGAAGGGACTTAAACTATGTGCAGTAGTCTAAGTCTTCTCCTGAAGAGAATGTATGACCCAGTGCCGTATTTGTTTTTTTGTTTTTTGAGGGCTTGTATGACCTAATCTAAACTATAAGTTGATAATCATCTAAGTTTCTTATTACAAAACCACCCCAAAGTCTAAATATTTTGTGGACATCTTTGTAGAATCCATGAACCCCAAGGGAGTTATAATGTTATTTTTACAGCCACATGGGATTTACCATGGAAACTATTTATGTTTTGTTACTTCTGGCCCACAACGGGCTCCATTGCACTTGCATCCTGTTTAAAATCATTTCAAATCTGTGAATATCTGATAATTTAATAGCTGTGAAAGTCTCAAGGTGAGAAACAGTCATTCCACATTAGATTTATCTATTATCCACCTATCACATTGGCAGATACCATGATACAGTTTATGGCTCTAGTGTGTAATATTTCCTGTATTTATCTTACAGGTGACAAATTTGCATAATTGCCAAAAAAGTGGTGAGCGCTTAGTATTAGTGAGTAAAACATATTGTTTAACAATGAATAAGAATGAATGGTAAGCACTTGATTGATTCGTATGAGACAAGGCTTTTGTCCAGGCTGTTAGAGGATGTGATGCAGACAGAATACCTTTATTGCAGTGCTCAGTCGTGGAAGGTAGGGTGAAAATAAACCATGAATACAGAGGAAGGAAGCGTCGTGCTACATATTATTGACACTTTTTACAATATAGAAGAAAAAAGCAGGAAGTGATTTTAACCATGTACCTGAGACAGAGGAGAGCAGCATCATTATAGAACAAAACATGAAGCAGTATTTACTTTTAAGACAAGTATTGTATTTTGTATGCATTCATTTATTTTTCTTTGTTCCTTTTAAACATGTTCTAAGAATTTGTAACTCAGTAAACATCCGATAAGGGCAGCCCGACAGATGTTTACTGTAAACATTATGTATCAGTAGGTAATGGATAATAGGTAGTGATTTGTAAATGAATGTAGATAATATTATACTACATTATATTTCAAAATAACTAGGCAGCTCATGCTCTTTCTCTTGATCATACTTTTTTTAATAGCTAGAAATCTTTTTGAGGTCAACTTGAAAGAAAGGCAGATGAGAAAAGTAATGAGGTCAGAGGTCAAGCATCACATGATATTTCAGTGCAGACTATAGTGTGATATTTAGAGTCCTCATATAGCAGCATCATTTCCTAAATGTCACCAATACAAAGGCAGTAGAATTTTAAGTGCAGTTTTAAAGATAAAAGTTATGAAACTTTGACCTTATTTGACTCTGAAGAAGAGGCCAGACGTTCCCAGTAAAGCGATATTTAGAATTCCCATATATCATTCCCTATATGCTTATATGTAGTCAATATAGGCATATTGGGAATATTTAGAAAACATAGTTTCTCACATTTTTTATTTTTATTTTATTATCTATTATTATTATTTATTTTCATCCTTACAAGGTACTTTCTATATGCTGATAATACACATTACACTTATAAGAATCGTAGTTTCTAATTTATAAGGCTTTTTGTCCATTTTAAAGACCTTGGTGAATGGAAGTGAAATTTTAATGGGTTATTAATATGACCCCACTCAAAATTCATTCAAACCTTTTCGAGCTCTATTTGGTGTATAACCTCCTTGGCGGCAGTAATAACTGCAACGAATGCTGTTAGAACCTTTTCCAGCATCCTTACTAACTCTTCCTAAATCTTCTGAGGACACACAGACCTTGTCTAAGCTCTTACTCTGTGGTGTTGCTCTGATTGCCAAAGTCATCCTGTCTTCCCTCTCCCAGAAAATCAACTTGAGGTTTCTCTATCTCAGGAACCCCGGTCTTGTTTGGAGGAACAGCAACGAGCACAACGACTGGTTTGTGAACCGAGTCCTTGGCTCAGGTGGAGCCACAATGCCGTCTGCAGGACACGTAGAGGAATAAAATGAGGGGAGCTCATCACATTATGAGCCTTAGTGCATCACAGTGGGTTGGTTGCTGAACTGAAAGAGAGTCACACACAATCAAGGCTAGGACACCACCACCCTTTAGGTTTCCAGTCTCCAGTTGTGAAAGAGTGAAACAGTAAAAGAGTTTAGAAAAACAAAAACAAATAAAAGAACTCGTTTCAAATCCCTAAATGATTTTATAATGAAACAGAACAAGCTGGAGGCAGAACAAATATAAGATGTGAATACACACGACACTAGTAGTATTTAATGATGTATTGACTTTTAATTCCATGGTGTTTTCCAACTGTTATTATATCCATATTGTGATTTTGATACTTAATTGCTTGTAAGGTGTCCTTGAGTGTCTTGAAAGGTGCCTATATATAAAAAACACATTATTACCTTTTTCATCCAAATTGGAAGGCAGGTAAATATTAATCCAGTAGGTGGCAGAAAGTTACCTTGGTAACAATATACACAAGTCAGTCATTACCTGCTATGAAGTCTAATCTTGTACTTTTTGTGAAGATGTACAAGTCCATTTCCCTCAGCTGTTACTTCTGTGAATATACACGATGTAAAAGGCTTCTTTTTAACACGTTTTATTGTGCATTATTGCTATAAATATTTTTTAAGCTAACACATTAATTCTTTGTCTGGATTATTTGAGGGGAAACTAAAGGTTTCTGAGCCTTTCCTTGCGATCCCTCATACCAACAAGAGATAAATTACAAGGACGTGGCTGTCTGGCCTTTAGTCCTCAGCCTCGTCGAGGACGTTTATATGATAAAGGTGGCACGCTGAAAGTAAACATTTTTTTTAAAATAAATCCATAATGATTGTGCAGAACTGTCTTCCACAAAGTTTATTTTGTCTCAGACATGTCGAGAGTTATTCAGGGTGTTATTTGTCAGTTTGTCAGCTGCGTGTCTGCACTCTAGGGTATACTGCATTCATCAGCAGGCTAAATTAAACACTTCTATTTGTTTTTATGTACTGCTGTGTTTTTTTTTTTTTTTTTTTTTTCAAATGTGCAGATGCAACTGTAAATAGCTCTTTGATAAGAGTTTGACAGTTGTGTGGTTAGAGAGCCCTTTTTTCAGACGTCTTAGATACTGAATATCTAAATAAAGTAAAACTATACTTGTCTTCTCTAAGAAATGTAAAAAGGACTCTTTGTTTTTCATTTAAGGCAATAAATGATGTGTGTTAGGGGGCGTTTTGCTTATTGCACTGTGCACATCTATGAATATCTCAAAGAAAAATAGTGTCAGGATTAAAAAAAAAACAGGTAGCTGTGAAGCACAACGCTGTGTGTGCTGTATGCACTAATGTGAATAATACATGTTCTATAAATGTTTGTATTCTTACAATGTAAATTACATTAATCAATTCAAATTTTAAGAGGAGATTTTTAACATTGCAGGAGACTTTTGCCGGCACTTTTATGTTTTAAATATATTTGTAGCGCCGGCTGATTTTATAATATTGTTTTTCCTGCTCACAGTGCTGTGACTCCTCCCCTCGAGGTAGTCACACAACTCCATCAGTTATCTCTCATCCACACTCCAAACTGCCTAGTTGAAGACACCAACTCTTCTTGGCTGCTCTGAATTCAGCTGTTCACCTTAACGGTACGAAGCTTTTGTTCGTTTTCAGTAGGAGAGCTTAGATTGTACTTCCTGTGCATTTCAGGACTTTATATGAAAACTTAAAGTCATGTTTTATGTAACAGGATATGTGTTTAAACTATTGTTAGGGAGCTTTTTATTAGCTTTGCCTTTGTGCAGTGGTAAGATATGTTGACTAATTTTCTTTAATGCCTATACATGTTATAATCTATAGATCGATTTTCTGGATACATCCGGTTACAATCAATCATTCTGATTTTTGATGGTATTAAATGATTAAATCTTACAGGGTATTATCGTTTAAATGTTAGGAAGTCAATAACAGGTCAAAAAAAGCATGCACTGATGTTTTTTATGATTGGCATTCATTAAAATTGTTGAAATCTTTACTTGAAAGTCAAAAATGTATCTATATTTTTTTTGTCAGCAGTCCTCTAAATATTATCTGCAGCATATTTCAGCCTATTTTAGGCCTTCCTTGAAACATTTTATTTTTGTTTTGGTTGTAAGAATAATTTTTAATTAGAGTTTCTTTGTCCTGTCTTTGAGATTTTCTTTTTTTCAAATAGCAGTAGAAGTTTGCAGCTTACATCTCTGATAACCAGCTTCTTTTATGATGTTAGCTGAGATGCCAGAGTCCCCTCTCAGTCCCACAACAGCCCGTCAAAACCCAGCCAGCAGCCTCCTCAGTCACACAGACAGTAGTGGAGGGGAAAGAGTCGCTAATGGGAACGCTGGCGCTCTGAGTGGCGACGACTGGCAGACTCTTCAGCATAAACAGGTACGTGTGTGTCCTGCTACTCCTTCATCGTGCCCCTCATCCTCCTTTTCTTCATCCTTCAGCTCTTTCCTCTCCTTCATAAGTGGAAAACAGAACACTCTTCCTCAAACAGATGTCAAGAGAGAAATACCCCATGGCCTCATATTGGATATCCTCTGGCAGGACACGAAACCCAGAGCTCACGGCTCTGTTGACAGTGACAAAGATTTCATATGAGATCTGAGGGGAGCGGGGAGTTGACACACAGAATTCTTGTTTGTCCTTCATTATTAGTTTGTGAGTCAGAGCCAGGGAGGAATAATTGTGCACAGACCTAGGTCAAACAGATGCAAGTGAACGGCAAATAAGCATGGCCCAACACAATTTTATGGTTGTCTCTTGCAATTCCATCCCTGGTAATCTTAATCTAAGGGATCAATGAAACAACCGAGATAATTAGCGGCCAGCAACAGCGCTTCCTCCAGTCCGTCCTGTCATCTTGTCACTTTTGTTCTGTTCTATTCTCCTAATTCACTTTCAAAATCTGGAC